CCTCCCTCCCTCCCTTCCTTGTAGCTGTTGAGAAGGGTGCTGTTTGTTCCCCAAACCCTCTGGTGGCTGCTCTGCTGCAATGGCTGAAGAACATGGAAGGCAGTAAAGTGCAAATTCATTGAGCAGGGAATTGTATGCAGAAACGAAAACTTTCAGAAAGAATGAAAGACTCTGTGAGAACCTACAGGTCATGACGGTGCCTGTACCCAGGCTCTGTAGGGTAAGAAGTCACTGATTTGTTCTTTGTTATTTTCATTAGTGCTAATTTTTCACCAGTTTTGAAGCGAGCCTGAGCCTGTAGATGCTGAATTAGGGATTATTTATTCTCCTGTTGATAGGCTGTTTACTCCATTGTGATGTCCTTGTTGATATGATAGCATTGAAATTATGTTCCAAATTTAAGAATGTTCTGGACAATTCTCCCCTGGAGTTTGCTGTGAGAGCTCTGGATATCAAAAGATGTACCTGTGACGTAAGCTCTCCCACTGTTAATTCCACAATTTTAACTCTTCCTGCTGAGAAAAAAATGCTTCTTGTTGTCTTTATCTTTAATGGAAAAGGAGGCTTGAGTTTACTTATGTCAGCAACCAAGAGTCCATGACATTTAGTCTTTTTGAGTTCTCCTTCCTGTAGGTGATTATCAGATGCCTTTAATTTGTCAAATGAGCTTTTTGCAGAATTAGAACTTGCCCTTGAACGTTATGTCATCTTTGTGGATATCACTTTCCTCCACCAGCTCAGCAGTGAGGACCAGTTGGACCTGATCTGCTGTGTCTTCCTTCACCAACCTGATTTGTAGTAAAAGAGACTGTGAAGGCAAACAGGACATTTTGGAGCCTAACTGTGAGTTTCTCTGAATGCTTTAACTTCACAGAGTAGTTACTTGCGCACTCTGAGGATGCCCATATTATCTTTCGTTAAACTGAAAATCATGAGAGAATTCCTGTAAAAGAACAAGGATCTCCATGTGTGAGCCCCAACTGCTCTTAATTGCACTGTAGAAGCTGGATTTTTAGGTAGTAAGTAAATTAAAAGCTCAATTATAAAACCCTCATGTTTCCTTTTTTTCCCAGGAATATACTTTCCCTCTGTAACTGCATCCATCCTGCTGGCAGTGGGAAGCTCAGTCTTAAGTCTACATCTTTTCAAGTGCAGTGATTTGAAAACTGAAGTTGGTGTTTCTCCACTTGATGGGCTTCTCTCTAAATCAGACTAATTAACTCCACTGCAGACTAACAACAAGGAAATGGGCCCTGGAGCTTGGAAAGCATGTGTCAGAATTGCCTTCATACCACTTCTCTGCTGCTTGTTTTTGTTATGGAGTGTTTGGATTCAGGGTACTTGGATACTTGGATAGAGGATGAAGAACGAGAACACTTCTGCTCCAGTCCTTGATTCCTGCCCAGAGGAGTTTCACAGTGACCCTTTGCCTGTCCTCTGTTCCCCACTAAAATCTGGTTTATGGCAGTGGGAAGATGTTTCTGTTACAGAAAGCAGCATCACTGGCACTCTCATTGCTTTGGGACAAAGCCTAATGCAAACTTCAGGTTTCCAAGCCAATTTAGGAGTGCTCCTATTATTAATCCCCAGATTAATAACTTCCAATAATAGAGTTGCATTTCTTAATGAAAATCATGTTACCAAGTTGCTGTTGATGGTTCTTGGGAGCCAACCTTGTGTTTTATTTCAAGTTTCACCATCTGCCCAAGAGACAGGAGGACGCTGGAAGTGGAACAAAAGTATGTGATGGCTGTGGAAGTTTATGACACCGAAGTGCATTTATCTGATGTGAATGTGTGTTTACTTAGCAACGAGCAGCTGCCAAAGGGAGTGCCATGGGGAATTGTGCTACAGATTTTAGCACTAATAAGGAAATGAGAGTGAGAAGGGAATTAACCCTTGTGTTATCTCAGTCTCTCCTTCACACACAATTCTATTCCCATATAATCCCCAAAAATCTTCTGTGTGACAAACCACTACAGAAATGCAAAATCCTGTGAGTGTTTTTGGAAAGTGGATTGCATTTTCCTTGGAAGGGAACACACTTTTCACTGATTTCTGTCAATTCACAGGACCTGAGAATAACTCACCATAATAAAACACAGCTGGTTTCTGTTCTTCAGGTAAGAGGCAAAGGTGGTAGTAATTTTCTTCACATTTTTTTTCTCTAGTCCAGTAGGTCATGTAACAACACTCTTGTTCATACCTATGTAAAAGCAACTGCCCTGTGCTTGAGGTTATGCCATATTTCATACAAATCATAGACTCACAGACTGCTTTGGGTTGGGAGGGACCTTAAAGATCATCCCATTCCAATCCCCTGCCATGGGCAGGGACACTTTCCACTAGAAAAGATTGCTTCAAGCCCTGTCCAACCCAGCCTTGGACACTTCCAGGGATGGGGCAGCCACAGCTTCTCTGGGCAACCTGTGCCAGGGCCTCACCATCCTCACAGGGAAGAATTCCTTCCCAATATCCCATCTAACCCTACCCTCTGGCAGTGGGAAGCCATTCCCCCTAGTTCTGTCACTCCAGACCCTTGTCCAAAGTCCCTCTCGATTTCTCCTGGAGCCCCTTTCAGCACTGGAAGGGGCTCCAAGGTTTCTCTGGACCTTCTCTTCTCCAGGTGAAGACCCCCAGCTCTCCCAGCCTGTCTCCAGAGCAGAGGGGCTCCAGCCTCAGAGCAGCTCCATGGGCTTTTCTGGACTCGCTCCAGCAGCTCCACGTCCTTCCTGTGCTGGGACCCCAAGGATGGAGGCACCACTGCAGGGGGGTCTCAGCAGAGCAGAGGGGCAGAATCCCCCCTCACATGCTGCCCACACTGTGGGGATGAGCCCGGGACAGTGTTGGCTTTCTGGGCTCCCAGTGCACGTTCCCCATCAGTTTTCCCTAGACAATTCCTTCTGCAGTCCCTGCAGCTGTGAGGCGTCCAAGAGCTCTCAGAAATGCAAGAAACCAGACACTTGGATAAAAGTCCATGCTACACTGGGGGATGCAAGAGGGGGTCTCAGCTGCACTGGAGGATGGAAGCAGGGGTCTCCACTGTCCTGGCAGATGAAGGGTCCATGCTGCACTGAGGGTTGTAGGGGATGGGGCCCTAATATCCCAGGAGATGGAGACAGGAGTCTGCACTGCCCTGGAGGACAGAAGCTCCTAGGAGCCTCTGCTGCACAGGGGAATGGAGGCAAGGGGTCTCTGCTGGACTGGGAGTGGTGAAGGTGGGGGTCTATGCAGTCTTGGAGAATTGAGGAGGGGGTCTCTGCTGCCCTGGACAATGGAGATGAGGGGTCTCCACTGAACTGAGGATGAAGGTGGCTCTTGGCTGCATGGGATGATGCAGGTGGAGGTCTCTGCTGTCCTGGGAGCCAGGGCTGGGGGGCCTCCAGTGTCTCAGAAAAGTGAGGTGAGGATCTTGGCTGTTTCGGGTGACCCAGAAGGGGATCTCCACTGTCCTGGCAGATCAAGGCAGAGGTCACCACTGCTTCTCTATTGGACTTGGCGGTGAAGGTGGGGGGTCTCTGGAGCACAGGGTATTGAAGGTGACTTCTCTGCTGCCCTGGGGGATGGAGATGGGCATCTCTGCTGTTGCGAGGATGGAGATGGGGCTCTGCACACTATGGGAGAATTGCTGTGGGGGTCTACACTGTCCTGAGGGATGGAGGTGTGGGTCTCCCTTGCCCTGGCAGATCAACAAGGGGTGCTCTGCACTCTTTCACCACTGAGACGGGGAGCACCTGCCCTGCCACTCCTGCTCCAGCACTTCTTGTCTCCTCTTGGCCCTTAGAGCAGCCTGCTTGAAAAGGGCACAGCGGGGGCTTCAAGGGTCCCTTCCCTCTGCAGCAGCTATGGAAGCACATGGCCGTGGCTTTGGCTCTCTGCCAGCACTGCTCCAGGACATCCCTTGGCTCCAGGGGCTGGTCCTGCAGACCCCTCACATCCAGGGGTGTTGCCCCTTTACAGGGATGGGGATGGAGCTCTACACAGTATGGGGTAATTGCTGCAAGAATCTGTGCTATCCTGAGGGAGAGAGGGAGGGGTGTCTCTGCTGTCCTGGGTGCTCCATGCTGGGATTTCTGCTTTCCAGGGCGTTGAAGGTGGCCAGGGGTCTCTGCTTTACTGAGGGATGAATGTGGGGGCCTCTGCTGCACTGGAGGCAGGGAGGAGTTGTGTTCACTGTCCTGGCAGACAAAGGCAGGGTCATGGAGAAGGGGATCTTTGCTACCCTGTGTGGAAAATGTAGGGAGACCTTCTAGCCCAACTGATAACTCAGGGCTTTCTGAGGTGACAAACAGCATTGCTGAATTCTGGGTACCTTCCCAATAGCTCAACTGGCCAACACTTCCTGGCATGGCTTCCAAATTCCAGACCCCCTCCTGCGTCTCTCTGGAGCCACACTCCAGCGCCCTCAGCCCAGGCACAGAGCAGGGGAGATGTGGGCACCCCTTCCTACACATCTGGTCAGACAGAACACTCAGCACAGACCTGGTCAGCCCCACAGTAAAAATGCTGCAGTATTTCATCCCAACCTGACTTTCCCAGCTTTCACTGGGGAAGGTTTGAAGGGGCTTTCACCCCTTTTTCAGCAGGTACACTGCTCTCCCCACAGACTGGCTCCACTGCACTGCATCAATACCTGTGCTTCACGCTGATTTTGGACATCAGAACCTGCTTTTTCACTTTCACATCCCTCCACTGCCCTGAAATCCACCCAGAGTGGCATGAGGAACCCCACTGCCCAAAGACAGTGCTCTGTTCTTACCAGTCACCCCACTGTGAGTCAGGCTGTAGTTGGGAGGCCATCACTGAAGCTCCCAGTACCCCCATGTTCCCCTTCACTTCCCCTGTGCCAACCTGCTCATAGTCCCCAAGTTCCTGGGCGAGGCAGCTTGGCTTTGCCTTCTCTGTATTCACTGCCATGGTAGGGTCCCCCCAATGTCCCTGTGCCCCCCAGTGGGGTCCTGAGAGCTGGTGGGCTCTGAGCCACCCCTGCTGGCACCAGGGCCCGTGGCCAACCTCTGGCACAACCTGATGGAGGCGAAACGCTCGATGGACTGCGTGGTGGATCTTCAGGTCAACCACACGACCGGTCTCTGGGAGGTGTCAACGGCCCCCCTGCGCCACGTGATGGAGGAGCTGGTGGTGAGGGGGGTCTGGGGAGGGGGCAGCAGGGGGCTGGGGGAGCGGGGCCGAGCCTCTGCGTGCGCGTGTCTGCGTGTGTGTCCCGGCAGCGGAGCGGGGAGACGCTGAACACGGAGATGCAGAACCTCTCACGCGCCTTCGTGGAGCTGAACGACCAGGTGGCCAGCGATGAGGGCTACAACCTGCGGCAGGACAAGGACAAGGGCACCCAGCCGGCCCGCAGCACCCAGGAGCTGTACGAGAGGAAGACCAAACACCGCTGTGCCAGTGAGCAGGACGGGCAGGGGCTGGCAGCACACAGGGCAGGCGGCTGCCAGCCGCGGGGGGCTGTCCTAGAACCCCATGCCAGCACCATGGACGGGGTCTTGGCCAGCGGGTCTAGGTCTGCACAGGCAGCTGAAGACTCCTGCCTCCCAGGTGTGATCAAGAACAGCCTGGAGCACTGTGAGGGCCAGTTCTGTGGTTGTGCTCTGCATCGGCCACCTCAAGAGTGACACACCCCTCCGCAGCACCTCATGTCCCTGTCCCTACTCACCAGCCCAGGTGGCTGCCATGCTCAATGTGCCATGTGTGTTTGCTACAGGTGGACAAAATGCTTCCACTGCCACAGCCTGTTGTACAGGTGCAGCACACAGCTGCTCTCTTACTGCACTGGCAAACACCGCTGAGGAGTGGCTGGTTGGGGGCACCAGCCCACCCCAAAACCCACCCCCTTCCAGCTGTGCCAGGCTCATCTTGGGTTAGTACAAGGCTGTGATGGCACAGCGCAGGCAGACTTGGGCCAGGCAGAGCAGGGCCAGTGGGCCAGGGGCAGGCAGATGCTCCAGTACTGCTGCCCTGTGATGCTGTGGGGATATGGCAGGCTGGGGACATGGCACCAGTGTGAGTCCCCCTGCAGCACACAGCGTGGCCAGGCCCTGGGGCCGTGGAAGTCCCATTCCCAGTGGGGTTGGGTGTTGAAAGTGGTGTTCAGGGCCCAGTGGGGCTCTGCAGCAGCTGCACCATCAGGGACTTGACCACCATGTTTGCAGACATGGTGGCTATGGATTGGGAGGATGGGGAGGCTGGGAGAGGGTGGGGGAGGCCCTGCATTGCCACGGTGCACAGTGGGGCCCATGGAGTTGCTCCCCAGGGCCATGGCCTCACTTTGGTAGGAACACTGCATGAAGGAATGGTTCTGGGTGACATTGAGAACCTGAAGGGGTCCAGGCCAGAGGTAAAGAGGAAGAGCAGGAGCAGGCTTCACCTGAACAGCTCCAGCACTTGCAGAGAGCAGGGTGTGTCACAACCTGCTGCCCCCCAGCCCCAAACTCCCCGGCTGCCCCCAGCCCCTCACCATGTGCTTCAGCTCAGGCCACTGCAGGGCCAGGTGGCACAGGATGATGAAAAACTGAGGTCTCGTCCCGGAGTTGGGACGGCAGCATCTGCTCGGTCTGGGTGAGGGGCAGCAAGGCACATGCCAACCCCTTCCACCATGCCAGAACGGTGCTGTGCAGGAAAGCCACATGCTCCTGGCGTGGATGTGAGGGGATGAGGGCAGGTGGCAGCTGAGAGGGTGTAGAGGGAAACACACGTGGAGGGTTAGCTTCTCACCTTGTCTCGGGACAGGCAGACATCAGGTCACAGGTGATCTCGAAGATGTAACCCATCCCATTTATGTCTGCAGAATGAGTATAGCCCTGCTCCCCTCCACCTCTGATAGTGGCAGATTAAGTCCAGCAGCCAGAAGAGGCTATGGTCAGCCAGAACATGGGCTGCACCCCGTACTGGCACCAATCCTGCTCTGACAGCCACAGCATGGCTGTCATGAGAAGACAACAAAGAGGAAAGTGAAGGACAGCAGTAGGCAGAACAAGGAGACAGCGAAACCCAGGCAGGTGCCTTTCTCCAGCAGATGCGAGGTTACCCCCTCGCTCAGCTGCTCCCTTTTGTGGGCATCCAGCAGTGTATGGTGGTGCTCCTGCTGTGAGGAGGAGCCGTGGAGCAGGGCAGGACCTGACCCCCATCCTGGCCACAGGGGACAGGCGGCCACAGGGGACAGGCATCCACAGGGTGCCCAGGCAGCCACCTGCTAAATGATGCTGGTGCTGAATTCCTGGCTGAGGCTGTGGACAAAGCTGTTCACCTGTTTGTGCACCTGCCAGCCCATGCCCACCCCATTCACCAGCACAGCAGTGTTTGCTCTTCATCTCGGAGTGGGGGCCCAGTGGAGGCCTGTGTCCAGGGGCTGCTGCAGGTCACAGCCCTCCTCACTGGCCACCTGTCCTGTCCCCCCGCGGGTAAAGGCAGGGGTTGTTCTGAATCTCTGTGCGGTAGCAAGGGGAGTAATCGTGATCATGCAGAGGTCTTTGCAAGTAGAACAGTATTCATTGGCAACAACTGAGCTGACTTGAATTTTTGACTGAGCGAAACTTGCAATCAACGCTGTCAAATCAAGGTGTATCTGAGAGAAAGAAAGTAAAAAGCAGAAGAGGGAAGGGAGGCAAGGAGAGAGGGAGAGAGGGAGTGAGGGAGGCAAAGAGAAAGCAAAAGAAAAAGAAAGAAGGAAAAAGGAAAGGAGGAAAAGAGAAAAGCAGAATAGAAAAAAAGAGAAAAAGAAAAAAGAGAAAAAGAAAAAAGAGAAAAAGAAAAAAGAGAAAGAAAATAAATAAGAAAGGAAGCAAGAAAGCAAAAAAGCAAGAAAACAAGAAAAGAAAAAAAAAACAACAAAAGAAAAAAGCAATAAAACAAGCAAGGGAAAAAAGAGAAGAAAAAAAAAAAAAGAAAACGCTCTCACCACCCCTGGTTCCAGGGCAGTACCCTACCCGCTGCTGCCACGCTCTGGTGCTGTGCACGCCTTTACCCCGAGCCGAGTCTTAAGGCCTTTGGGTCCCGCCCCCAGGGGCTGGTCTCAGCCCTGGTCAGCCCCTGCACATTCCTCCTTGACTGAGCCTTCTGGAAATGTCTCTGGGGGGTCCTTTTTGCGGCCCCACCAGTGTCCCGGAGCAGCAGCCGGGTCCCAGCATGGTCCCCTGATCTGTGTGCCTCTGGATATGCTAGGTGGCAGGTTCTCCCGTGGAACATACAATTGTAAGATGCTGTGACCTACAATAGCAGCAGTGGAATGCTCCTCTGGCAACCGTAGAACAAAAAAAAAATGGTGGAATGCTTCCCTGGAACCGACAGAAGCTGGAACTGGGGCTGGGCATGGCCTTCTCCATCATGACATGATGACCATGCTGCTGGTGCTGCCCAAGTGAGCAGCTGTGGGCCCAGGAGCCAGGAGGGTGCTGGGGGCGTGCCAGTTCCCAGCTAAGCCCCAGGATTGCCCTGTCCCCACAGGGGAGGGGACGATGCTGCTGCTGGAGCTGGGCATGGCCCCAACATCCTGCACAACATGCCCCAGGCTGCAGAGTCGCTGTCGTGGCTCATCCTCTGGATATGAACGAGGGTCATGCACACTGTGGAATTCATAGCAACCCTGTTCTACATAGGAGTAGCCACCCCTCCTGATGGCCTTTGAGCTGTTCCATCTGCTCTATGGTCAATGAAGCTCAGCAGGTCAGGCATCTCTGTTTTTCCCTTGTTCACCGCCTGGCCCCAAACGGGGCTGCAGCAGTGGCGGGGCTGTGTGACGTGAGGGGAGTGTTTGGGGCTCTTGGCACCTGATTCCGGAGGAACTGAACCCTGATTCTCTTCCTTGCTCTCCTCTCTCGTCACTTCACAGAGCCACCATGGATATGAACCTTCCTGATGGGCTCCCTATGTTGTAAATAACAACGGTTAATGGGATGGTACCTAACGGTCAGTGGACCAGTGGAACACTGGAATATTGAGAGCTCTGCAATCACCTATGGAACAAGTCAAACCAGCCCAATCCAGTTTGTTCAGGAACCTACTGTGCAGCTTAGATGAAAACAACACTGTATGTGGAAGATCGGGATGAAAACTCCGAAGTTCAGTGGCTCAATGACCCCCACAGGGGTCCCTAAAGACCCCCCAAGAAGACCCTCTGAGACTGACTGCACAGACTGAAGAGACTTAACAAATTAGATCCATGTATCACCTCGAGCCAATCGTGCATGGCAGGCAGAGTCATCCTCCCCTGCAACCAGCCCTGCACTGATGTGGGGAAGAGCTCAATGTAGCGACCTGGTCCCCAGGCTGAGCTGGGGAAAGTCAGGGAATGATAGGAGAAACCCCGGAGGTGCCCCTGTGCTACAGGACGCTGATGCTGGGGCGAGGTCTCTGGACCAAAACTTCACCTGGTCCTCTAAATAAAGATGTTGTTTCAGGCTGTTTGTGTGATGGGAGGGGGGGGGGAGGTGTAGAAAAGCTCCCCTGGGCTGGGCACTACTGGGGACCCTGAGAGGGTGGGCCCCCCCCAGCCACTGCCACCAGCTTCTCTCTCTCCCCACAACTCGAAGACCACGTCCGAAGGTTGGGGTTTTTCAGGGGCTGTGATAGGTGACCCCAGGGGGTTCTGTGTGGAGCATTTCCTCATGAGGGGCAGGCACTGATCTCTGCTCTGTGTGACCAGGGACAGGACCCGAGAGAAGAGCATGGAGCTGTGTCAGGGGAGGTTTAAGGTGGATATAAGGAAAAGGTTCTTCCCCAGAGAGTGATCAGGCACTGGGATAGGCTCCCCAGGGAAGTGGTTACAGCACCAAGCCTGACAGAGCTCAAGGAGTTTGGACAACGCTCTCAGGCACTTGGTGGGATTGTTGGGTTGTCCTCTGCAGGGCCAGGAGTTGGACTCCAGGATCCTTGTAGGTCCCTTCCAACTTAGAAGGTTCTAAGATTCTACTCTCCAATTTTCTGGCTCAAATCCCACAGTGCAGCTCTTCCACAGAGGGAGCTGGGGTGGAAACTCTTGGCTGCTTCTGTGATACTCCTATGGAGAATTGACAGGGATTAACTGCAATACCACTGGAGCTCTCCGGGTGACTGCAGGACAAACCACACACCCCATGTGCAGCAGGAAGCCACTGTGCTGGGCTGCAGTGCAATTTCCATTGTCAGCTGAAAGGTACTTACAAAGTGAGGGGAGAACCTCCTGTCGAAGTCACGCTGAGCCAGGATTCCTCCTTGCCCGGGAGCACTAGTGAAACCAACCTGGAAGAGGCAGGGAAAAGACAAGCTTTACCACTTTCCTTCTTGGGGCAGAGCTGGGCAGGGTGAGAGCTCAGGGACATCACCCCGACCAGGCTGCTGCAAGAGCACTGTCAGGGGTATCTGCAGGGCTCCTCTAAATCGTCCACTTACCACGACCTGTCCTCCCTCCTGTGCCAGGTACGTGATGGTGGCAGAGGTGAAGTTGAAGTGACCAGCTTTGAGAGGCCGCAGAACCACGGTGTGGGACACGTTACTCGCTCTGGGAGCCGGGCGTTAAGGAAAACGGTTGGATTTCATTACAGGAAGAAAACACAGGTGGAAAAGTCAGTGCTGCTGACAGATCCGAATGCTTATGGTCACAGACAGCCCGGCCTCCTCAAGGCTGATCCAGCTGCTCCTC